CGAGCTCAGCGCTGCTCGGCCCAACCAGGCTCCATCCCAAAGGAAGTCTGACAGTAAAAAACCCTGGATGTCCTTCTGTTTTCCTCCTTACTCTATTAGTTTCTCTCTTCCCAGTGTCTCTAGGGGCTTCCCAGCTGGAAGCTTTGCAGTCAGGGCACTGCCATGACCCAGGAGCTCCAGCTCTACTATTCCCCTCCAGTCCCTGATAATAATCAATCCTTTTTCCACATCTGTATTCAAACAAGGAGTCATCTACTCTGTTTGAGGAATGCAAAATACCCAAATCAAATACAAACTTTAAAATCAAGCAGCACCACAGGGATTCCAGCAAGCATTTCTCTCCCACAGCAGCCAAGGCTGCTGGAACTCTTTCAACCTGGTCTTTCATTTAAAGCTGAATTAAAGGTCCAGGTTTCTCTCTGTGAATGAAGGTTGTGTAGCCCAAGAGGGTTGTGTGTCTGTAGAGGCTTCAAAGGGACAACAGCTAGGGACATGGAGACTCAGACTGAGAGGGGTCTCCAGCCCAGGAACTCCACAGCCAGCATGAAGTTCAAACCCTATGAGATTTTTACTGGATATAAAGCAGAGCATCCAAACTAACAAGAAAAACAAAACAAGAGCAACCGTGCTTCCCCACCTGTAGAGCAATGCCTATTCCTGAGCCCCAGGACAGCCAAGCCAGGCTGGCAACATCCACACCAGAAAGAGCTCCATTTTCCAATTAAAGGCTAATTATCTTTTTACTCATTAACTGTGCTTGACCTTGCTCATTTTCCTTGGTATTTTTCTGCCCCTCAATCTTTCTCAATTAACACTCTGCAATGCAGGACACCCCTCACTGCCTGGATTTACAGCGTCAGAGCAGCAGTTAATGTTCTCAGCCTCATCATCCTGTAATTTAGGAGCAGCTCCCAAACACAGGTGCCAGGCCTACACCCTGATTTATTCTGCAGCAGCCCCTGCCAGCTCAGGGCTCCCAGCCCCTGTCAGCTCCAGAGTGGAACTGCAGGTCTGGGCTCAGATTTGTGAAGTCACCCAGCACAGGAACAGCTGAGCTCGCTAAAGCCCGAGCAGAGAGGGATGGTTTTATGACAGTTTCTCTTAAAACAACACCAGGACGGGAGCAGCCAAAGCCAGGCTTCCAGACAAGTGGTCCCAGCCGTCCTTCCAAAGCAAACACTGCAGCACTGAGAGACAGAAATAAAAATTACTTCATGGATTTGCTCTGGCCCCAAGCTTGTAAAAATGAAAAACGGGCTGGGTTTCTAAACCTCTCTCGTTTCCCAGGATCCAAGGTTTTATTAACAAGTTTGTCAGTAAGGATTTTTTTTGACTCTATTTCCAATGTAAGCCACAACCCGAAATCAAATTTATGCAGCTCTGCTCTGGTTTCCCCCCTGCCAAGGCACTGGGGACAGGGTTAAGAGGCAGTGGGGTGAACAAAACTCCCCCACAACTCTGATGTTCAGTCATGCCCAGCCAGAGGCAGATCTGCCACGATGGCTTTGGCCAAGGACAGCACAGCACAACTCACCCAAAAAATCTCTTCCTGTGCAGGTGTAACTGGCCACCTGCTCTTCAGTTTCTTCATCACCTTCCCAATCACACAGAGTTAATATATTACTACAGTCGCCACATTTCAGCCTTGGCTACAACAAAACGGGCACTGCTATTGTTTCCACACTGGAGTACCTACATGGACGTAGATTTGGCCTCCAAAGGAAGGGGAACAGAAAGAGGCAGGGGTTGCTCAAGCAATGCACAGCTCAGCAAGGGAGTTTAACAAATACCATCAGGGTTTGTGCCCAGGGGAAATAAAACTCACTGGTTTTAATAGCCAGGATAGCAGTGGAAGTTACCGGCTGGTTACAGCAGCGAGCTTCTTTTAGCCTCCCCTACTTATGGATTTATCAGAAGAAGCAGTTTCAGGTGCCTTTTCCTTTGGAGCTCAGCCCCAAACTGGAAACTCTCTCGACTGCTCCTGAGGGAGGCAACTGGAACTGAGCACTGGCTCACCTGCCCGAGCACCACCTCACTCCATGTGTTGCATGTTCGTACTGTGAGGGACTGAAGCGTTGGTAATGTGTTAAACATGGCCAAAATCATAGAAAGACTTCTTGTCAAACTGCAAGGAAGCAACTACATGTCTGGGACCACCGAAGCCTGACCAGAATTTGGACTGGGAAGCGGGACTTGAGGTAAGACTGTTGTCTAATCATCTCAGGTCTGAGGAGAAGTAAGCAAGGCCCAGGGGGTGGTGGAGGAGAAGGGTTTTGGGGTGTGATGGTGCTTTCTTAAAGCACCTCCACACCAAACCAAAGGAGTAACCCCCCCCTTCCAGGAAGGCCACTTACACATGAGACATTCATGTGAGAAGGGTCATAAAGCACCAAAGACCCCCCAAAGCATCCCCCCAGCTCATTCCTGAGGCCTTCCACCACCACATGATCCAAGGGAGGAAACAAATCCAGAGCCTGCCTCAAGATGCTGCAAAGCTTCCCTCCCACCCCCAGGGGAGGTGCCTGGAATCCCCTGAACAGATATTTATCCACTGGACTCTGTGTTTTGTGGGAACTCCACCACCAAGAAGACCAGAACAGCCAGACCCAGGGAACGCCGCCGGGTTCCATGGAGTGGTGATCCATTTTCCATTGTAATCTTTCTCTGTCACTTCTTTTCTTCCCCCGAACTCCTTTTCCTATTTCCTTCTATCTCTCTTTCTCTGCCCCACATTTCCCATTAAATAAAACCTGTGCTACTGACTTTGGCATCTGGTCTCGTTTTGTACCTTAATTCGGGCAGAGGCATTTCCAATAATTTTAATAATCTCGTCATCTCCAGGAAGGAATCGCGATTCTGGGCTCGGATTTAATAATTTTAATAATTTCTAATAATCGCAACACATATCAATGAAAGAAACCTTGGTTGCGACACCGCTTTCCGTCAGCAGGTGACACCAGCGAGTCATTAAAACCAAATGTGCCTCTTTTTCGGGGGGGGGGACGCGAGTCCCAACCAAAATCTGAGACTTGGCGTTACCCTCCAAGAGACCAGAAAAAACCACTCCGGATACACAGCGCTATTTCCAGTTCCCGTGTGTCGATCATATTTTCTCCCCCTTTCAAGCCCCCTTTTATTGTTTAATTTCTGGATATAAAGGTTATATTTGTGTTTTCCAACGCTATATATCTGTATTCAGAATTTCTCACGCTCCGAGATCCGATATATATAATACAGTTGATACAAGGTTCTATTTAGAAATCAATTTTTATATAATTTAGGATTATTTTTCAATATATAGAAAAACGAGAAATGTTAGTATTTCATATTTTTTGCACCGCCCTCCCCAATGAACTTTTAGACAATTTTGTGCTGTAACCTCCCTTTTTTGGGAAGACTCCACATCAACCCCCTTAATGTATCAAGCACATTATGAAGAGGTCAAGAACGACAACACATATAAAATAAAGTAAAAACATCTGTAAAAGTTTCTTTCCACATACAAAATAACTTTTTTTGGGGGGGGTGATTTTCTTTTTTTTTTATTTAACAGCCTGTAAAAAGATAGCCTTTCGCCAGAAATTATTTTAAAAAGCTGTTTTTACAAGCAAAACCGGGAAAAACGGGGCAGCACTACCCGCTCACTGCGCATGCGCAGGTTCCTTCGCTGTAGCGCCGCCTTTTGACCAGCAGGAGACGCCAGAGAGTCATCGGTGTCACTGCGCATGTGCAGCTCTGTTGCCAGATTGCCCACACTTGACGGTGGGCTTCAGTAAAGTAATTGCGCATGCGTAACTTTGTCATCATGTTGCCAATATTTACCATGTGTTTAGGTACTTCACTTTAGGCAGTGCGCATGCGTACGTTCGTCGTTTTGTTGCCATTACTTCCCACGTGTTTTGCTGTTTCGTTTTTTGCAGTGCGCATAAGAGAGCTCGTCGCCTTGTTGACAGAACTTCCCATGTGTCTGGCTGCTTTATTTTAGGCATCGCGCATGAGCGACTTCGTCGCTGTGTTGCCATAACTTACCACGTGCTCATGTGCTTCGGTTTTGGCAGTGCGCATGCGCGAGCCCCTCCTTGTGTTACCAAAACTTCCCACGTGTTTTGCTGCTTCGTTTTAGGCAGTGCGCATGCGTTAGTTCGCCGCCATGTTGCCAAAACTTACCACGTGCTCCACTGCTCCATTTTTTTCTGGCCGCGCGCATGCGCGGCTGTCCCGTCCGCAGCACCGCTCTGTGCCCGCGCACGCGCAGTTCCCGCGCTCACCGCCGGGCGGCGGCACCGGAACACCGATGACTCTCCGCTGCTGTTCCCTTCACATCTGTCACCTGCCCTCACGTTTGCCAGCCCTTTATCATTGAATTTATACGTACAAAGCTGCAGTTTGTATTTTCAAACCCTAGAGATACACAGTAGAGATTTCTTATGATCTAAGATGTGTGTATGATACGTAATGTACGTAATACAAAGGATACCGGGTTGCATTTTGAAATTAATTTATACGTTAATTAACATTCATTTTCAATACATACAAAGACGAGAAGCTTTACAGTCTTTAATATTGTTTTGCGCGCCCTCCCATGAATTTTTGGGGCTGTAACCTTTCTCTTTTGGGGGGGGGAGGACGCCCCACGACCCTCCCTCCATCCCCCCACTCACCCGTTCCTGCACCGCGTCACCGCTCACCCGGTGACATCGGCGTGTCCCAAATGACATCACCCTCCCACGCCCCCTTTTCCCTTGGCCCCAAGCGAGGCACAGGATGAGTCAAACCGAACCTTGTTCCACAGACGCCCCCGGGGAGGCGGTGGCGGCCCCCGGGACTACAAATCCCGTGATGCCCCGCGCGCGGAGGCGGCCCGGAGGACTACAAATCCCGTGATGCCCCGCGCGCGGAGGCGGCCCGGAGGACTACAAATCCCGTGGTGCCCCGCGCGCGGAGGGAGGTGGGGCCTGCCCCGCCTCGCGCCGCCGGTGCCTCCGCTCGGGGCCCGATTTAAATCCAGGCAGCGAAGGAAAATGGCGGCGCGGGGCTGAAGGTGGTGGGGACGGCGAGAGGGAGCCGGGCTTTGGCTCCTTTCCCAGGTGAGCGGGGCTTGGAGGGAGGCGGGGAGGGAGTAACGAGTGGAGGGAGGAGGGTTCTCGTTCGTGTTCCCCCCGCTCCTGGCGCCGGGGTGGCAGCGGGATGGCGGAGGGAGCGCTGCCCGCTGGCCGGGGAAGGGAGCGGCTCGGGGCTCGCCCTCGGGGGCGGCTCTTTGCTGCCTCTCGCCCCCCTCCTCCATACGGACGTGGCTCCCCGAGGGGAGCAGAGCGTAGATGGGCTGTGTGTGAGGTGTGTTCCCAGCGCTGGGGAGGAGGGGGTTCCCCGGGCGGTGCGTGGCCGCCTGTACCTCGTTCATTGTAACTTTGGCGCCGGCTGAGTTGGGAAGGGGCATTGCCGGGGCGGCGTCGGGGGACGGGGCTGTGGGGTGAGGGCTCCCCGTGCCGCCGTGTGATGCGGGTCTGAGCCCGGTGATTTTGGGTGGAGGTTCCTCTGGTGGCACTGGGAGACTGGAGGTCGCTGTGGGTTTGTCTTTGGAATCGTCTCGCCCGCGGTTTCCCAGCCCGAGCACAGGGATGTGTGGGTGAAGCGCTCGGGCTGGAATGGCCCCTCCGCCATCCATCGGGGTTTATCTGATGCCGAGACCTTGTTATCTCCCTCGGGTCATCCCGTAGCCTCGGTGAGTTTCAGAGGTGACTTCTTTTGTCTCCTTATCTCTGGTCATAAGGGAAGAGACGAGGAATACTGCAAATGAAAGGTTGATTTCCATGGCTCTTACCCATTTCTGCCTCGCAGCTCTAACGAAACTGTGTTATTGAGGGATGGAGATAAGATTTTTCTCTTTTTTTCCCCTCCCCCGCGCTCACATACCATTGTAGGTTTTAGTGACTCTGGAACATAAATGAGGTGAATACGAGTGGGGATGTTGTCTGAGGTTGACTTAATTCCCAGACTGGTTGTCTGAGGTTGACTTAATTCTTTGGTTCTAAAGTTGGTTCTGTTTGTGGTTTCTGCTCCTACCCTTAAGCACAGCCAACTTTGCTTTTGAAAGAGAAGCTTCTCAGTTTGCCAGCTCATATTCAGACAGCATCTCCTTCCTCTTTTAGATAAAAGTTAATAGAAAATACTGTGTTGGATTCTTATCTGGAATAACAGGACAAAACTACAGCAAATCTGGAAGTGTGAGGGTTGGTAATGTCTAGCTGTATGGTATCTATAACATAGTTAAAATGGACACTTACAGTAAGCTTAAAATTTTGTCATCACTGTTGTAAAAATGAGTATTTTCTCATAAAATATTTCCAACTTTACAATGTGCTGCTACACGAGACAAAGTTGTGTGTTCTAAGTATAAACACGAGATAGCTTCATAGAAACAAATACAGTCTGAGTGAAAGCCCAAGCATAAAGACTTGGGTTTAGAGGAAACAGAAAAAAAATTCGTGTTCTTTTGGTTTGAGGCTTTTTTTTTGTTTGTTTGCTGTGGTTTTGTTACCTTTTTTTTTTTTTAAAACTGGGTTGTGCATTATAACATACAGTAATTGTATTTACTGTATGGGTTGTTCAACTAACTGATGTTCAGAATTTCTTTCAACTCTGTTACTACTACTGTATTTTGGTTTTTTAACTAATACCAGTGGATTTGATGGATTTGCTGCTGTGATGTGAAGGCTGGGGGATAGGGGAAGTGATAGCAGACAGAAGAAGCCCAGTATTCAGCCTCACTTTAAGTACCTTTCCTAATTCCAGTGTGCTGTTTCCAGACTGATTTCATTTGGCATGTGAGTTTTGGGCTTGTTAGTGGCTTTGGGTTTCTTTTGACTCTTCCTTTGTAGCCCTTGTTCATCCTGGCTTTGGATTTATTAACTGGGAAATTTGCATTGTCTAGTTATCAATTTTTTTTCCATAGTATCACTGAGACAAAATGCAGAGTAGGAAGGAGAAGCAAATCTGTTTTACAATGGAGCCTTATCTTTTGATCGTTTTTTATTAATAATGGACAAGAAATCACAGTCAAAACCTTCAAGATTAATCTCTGTTACAGCTGCATAGAAAAAGAGGTGTGTGGTTTTATTTTTCAAGAACTCTGAGAAAGAAAAGGTGTCTTGATTATGTTTGTCTGCAAAATTAAGCCACTGGTAGCATGTAAAATGATATTGGACACTCCAGTCTGACGCTGGAGGTTGCTTCAACTCTGCATTTAAATGAGCCTCCCTCGAAGAGGTGATCTTGAATGACTGTGTGACACAGGATATTCTGCATTTTATGTGCACAGAAGCTTTTTGAGTATTTAGAAATATCTGAAATATTCCCCTGACTTGTTATTATAATTAAAGAAATGGAGGAGTGAGGGAGGGCAGGAATAGTATTCTTTATGCCAGGGGTATGAGAGGGTAGTGAAAAATATGGAATGTGAATCCTGGGGCAGCATGCCTGTGGGGGGTGTGTGTTTGTTTTACCCCCCCTCCTCCCCAGCTAGACCTATTGATGTCTCTAAATGCAGTGTATTAGGGAAGAGGCAGTTGGGAAAGAATTTACCTGCTGCTGATTTAAGTCTGCTATGAAATATGTTTCCACTCACTCTCATCTTTGTATGCTACATTTAGTTGGAAGAAGGTACATCAAGTTGATTTTTACCCCACATAAATGGGAGGTATACTTGAGATGGACCCTAATAATTTAATTGGTGACTTTTTTAATTGACAGTTATCAATAAAATGATTTTTTCGTAAAGTGGAACAAAATTACCTTGCCTTCCAACTTAATGCAATGAGGGATTCTTAGTCTTTTGTGTGCAGTGTGTGGCATTATTGGTGGTGAGGTTTTGTGGGTTTAGATGTAGATACACATTTTTCTTTTATGTTGTCCAGAGTCAGCCCTGTTTCTGACATTGTGAACAGGCAAGGAAAGGGTGGTTGCTTAAGAGACAGGAGAGGAAGAAGGTAAAGGGGCCACCATTGGTTTTACTGCTCATTTTGCTTATATGCTGGAAAGTCAGGTTTGTTACTGTTACCTTGGGACATGGTAAAAGTCATCTACTTCTGAGGTTGTGACTGCTTTTGCAACACTAGAACCCTGGAGGTGATAAGGTCAGATCTGCAGGTGCCTGTCTACCTTTGAGTAGACAGTATTCTGTCTACTTTGAGTATTCCCTGACTTTGTCTGCTGTATGTGTGGGGAGGGTTGCTGCTTGGTTTTTTGTTTGGTTGGTGGTGGGGCTTTTTTTTTTCTTTTTTTTTTACTTTGCTTTGCTTTTGGTGGTACACCCACGTGCCCCACCTTTGTCACTTTTATCCTTAAATGTGAGCCTGTTCAGGTCAAGCATTCTTTGTTAGATTATGGGTCATTGCCCTGTTGGAAACTTGGTTTTAAAGGGTTGTTTTCCATCAGGTTAAACTCATTTTTGATGATTAGAACATGGGTAGTGTCTTGACTTGAAGTCTAAAACTATCACAGGTGCATTTAATGGATGAGATTGTTCTAGAAATCTAAAACCACTGTAAAAGTTCTCCAGAAAACACTGTAATTGTTAGGTCAGGGGCAAACAGTTTTTCATCAGGTTGTTGCACATGTGGCCAAACTAGAGAGCAGTTTTGCCCTGACTTACCAGGTGCACCTGAAGGTGGGGGGTGAGGGAGAAGGGAGAGGCTGCAGAACAATCAAAGTGCTGGACTCCTGGCCAAAATGAGCAGCACCTGCAGCAGCCTTGGCTAACCCAGCCTGGGACATTCTGTCACAAAGACTGAACCCTTTACTGGCTCCTCTGTTTCTGTGCATGTTGAGATGTGTCAGAGCCATGGAATAAAATAATTCAGTATCACAGGTACACCCAGGAGGCCTTTTAGGAGTGTATTTTCAAGGCAGGTTTGCATGTGTGGAATATTCTGCATGTGTCTGGTGAGTTATGATGATTTCTCCTCTTATCTGCTGCGTGGAAGTGAGAACTTTTTCTGCTGTTCTAAAGACAAAAAATGCCATCAATATTATGTGTTTCTCTTGGGTAGTTGTGTTGTAGCCTAACACTTTGGGTTTTGGTGTGGTTCTATGGGTTTTTTTTCTTCCCTTGGCAATGGGAATAGAGCAAAAGGAAAAGGCAACATTGCCTCTTATCTCCCTGGTCAGGATACCATTAAATAAAGCTATTTAATGTGTGGATGAAACTTGCCCTTTGAATCTCCAAAGGGCTTCATGTGTTTTTCCCCATTAACTTTTAGGTGAGGTGGAATAGAATGTGATACCCTTTGTGGATCCAGTGGCTTTCCCTTAATGAAAACAAATGGTAATAATTAATCTTGCTGGAGTATTTTATCATTAGGCAGCACAAGCATGTCTTTGAACAACACTACAAATAGAAAAGAATTAAGAATGGATGGTGCCCCCTTCAGCAAATACAGTTAGTTCTTAAATTGTTTCTAATGGGAATCCTTTCTAATGGAGTCTTCAACCTGAGTGTTACTATAGGTAGAGATATGTGCCAAAGAGCAGTTAGTGAATGTGGGAAAGGAAACTAAAATTATTCTTGGGGAAGCTACCCAGGCTAGAAAAAAGCAAGCCAAAATCTGTTGTCCAGGGACTATTTGCCAGTTGTCTTTGCTGAAGGAAACAATTGGCAGAGGTGGGGTTTGTCTGCCACTTCCAGTGTACCAGTGTAGAATAAAGCAGATCAGTGTGTGTGTGTGTGTTCAAAACAAGTGTCTTAAGACTTTATTGAAGCTTACCTGATTAATTTAATTTTAAGCATTTCTTTCCAAATGCCAGTGTCTGTCTGGGTCATGTGCTCAACAGAACTGTAATGCAGTGCCTCTCTCTTCCTGATGCAACTCTAGCAAGACTGTTAATTCACATATTGCACTCTTTAGGAGGATCTTAGAACAGCCATTTATCTTTGTAGTTGGTCACAGGCTGGACAGGACTTCAGCTGTCACCATGCTGTGTCCAGGGCAGCATCTCTCCTCCTCTCACTGAACCAAGTCAGGCAGAGCTGTGATGGTATGATGTGGTGCTGCATTAAACTGAGGTTTTCTTGGAGGTAGGAGGAGAGATG